TGTTTTTTCCTTCTCCTGTAAAGTTGCCATTTTGGAGATACAAGGTTTTATTCCGACAGCAGTAAATTACAACTATCACTACTGAATGTAGGAGTAATCAGGTAGACCACCAATTAATTTAGTGATCATATCAAATAATCAATTAGAACTGTCAATAGAAGTACATGACGAATCAATCAATATACCAATTAGTTGATGAGTAATCATAGATGTTACTGATTGTTTTGATTCAGTTCAATTCAAGAAGATGCTACTGAATATATTTACAGAACGATTCCTGATGTAACGCACATGGTCCAACTACAAAGGTTCTCCTGAGTGGGATCAGATTCCAATGAGCCCCCAGGGGCCGAAACAGGAACCACGTTTCTAAACTATTCTAAACTCCACATAAAACCCTGGAGAACCTTAGAGCACCCGATAAACAAACCTACAGAGAGAACGTTAAAGCGTTCCTCATGTTCCTCAAACACTGAGCGATCAGAAACAGGTGTAGCTTGCATAATTACTACAGTCTGTTTAACGCTGCCATCTAGAGGCCACACGGCAGGTGTGCTTCACTGAACCGTCGCTAATGGAGGCAGCAGTGTGTGGTAATGAATGATGCACTGAATCCACTCTTATCAGATTCACATATTCCTTTCATTTGGAATTAATTAAAGGGCTCATATCTTTGTTTGATGTAGTATCTACACCGATCAGCCATGACATTCTGACCACCTCCTTGTTTCTACGCTCATTGTCCATTTTATCAGCTCCACTTACTATATAGGTGCACTTTGTAGTTCTACAGTTACAGACTGTAGTCCATCTGTTTCTCTGATACTTTGTTAGCCCCCTTTTACCCTGTTCTTCAGTGGTCAGGACCCCCATGGACCCTCACAGAGCAGGTACTATTTGGGTGGTGGATCATTCTCAGCACTGCAGTAACACTGACGTGGTGGTGGTTTGTTAGTGTGTGTAGCAGCTCATCTGCTGCTGCACAGTTTGTGTTGGTCATCCTCGAGTCCTTCATCAGTGGTCACAGGACGCTGCCCACAGGACGCTGTTGGCTGGATACTTTTGGTTGGTGGACTATTCTCAGTCCAGCAGCGACACTGAGGCGTTTAAAACTCCAGCAGCACTGCTGTGTCTGATCCACTCAGACCAGCACAACACACATTAACATACCACCACCACGTCAGTGTTACTGCAGTGCTGAGAATGATCCACTACCCAAATAGTACCTGCTCTGTGAGGGTCCATGGGGGTCCTGACCACTGAAGAACAGGGTAAAAGGGGGCTAACAAAGTATCAGAGAAACAGATGGACTACAGTCTGTAACTGTAGAACTACAAAGTGCACCTATATAGTAAGTGGAGCTGATAAAATGGACAATGAGCGCAGAAACAAGGAGGTGGTCAGAATGATATGCCTGATCGGTGTAAATGCTTCAATGGAAATGAGAATTTGTTCATGTAAACTGGACTATTCACTAAAAATCTTTAAACATTAAACCAGGCATAAATTTCACGCTAGGTTCCAGTTTCGTTTCATGTTTGTGAGAATATCCTGCTTATGGTAATGTCTGAAGGAACTAATAATTAATATTAATTAAAATGATCATTATTAAAAAGGATTTAAGGAGTCAAAGTTTCAGCTGCTACTTTAATACAGCTCAGCGGTTCTCCATACACGCTAATCATGATGTTTACATCAACAAAAACAAGGCGAGCGCTGCTCCTCTGAGAGCTGGGTGACTAACAGAGGGTTTATAAACTGGAAAGACGTTTACTAAACGCTGCTAATGAATATTCATAAAGGCTGTGGTCAAAGAACACTGAGCTGAACAGTCAGTCAAAATGCAGAGGAATAATTACTGTTCCCCAAAATCTAACATCATAAATCATACATACTCAAAGCAAAACACAACCTGGAGGTCAACAGACAATAAAACCTCACCCTCACTCACTCAGAAGAGCTCAATACACTTGAATTTTGAGGGGAATTCCACCAAATTTTTAATTTTCTGCATAATTAAGTGGTTAAGACGTAAACAGAGTGATTCAGAGTGGTTTGGTGTGAAACGCTCTGTTCTAAGAGAAACTTACCGAGTCAGAACTGTTCACAGTGGTGGTGATAGGAACCAGACGTCCACCTCTAAAAGCTCCCTCACAGAAAGTTACTACATGAAATGGTTATGAATTCACTGCCTGATGACTGAGACTGTTTAGGTTATTAGGGCACTGTGAGGCAAAATAGTCCCCAAACTTATTATTCCAGATTTTCCGCTATTTTCCTCTCGTGTAGGTTCACTGGTGGTTCTGGATAGTAAATAAAATGTCTATATTTGTGTTGCAGTCATGGCGACGCCTGGTTCCTATCACCACCACTGTAAAGAGATCTGAACCATTTCACACCAAACCGCTCTGAATCTCTCTGATTACATCTCACACACGAGTTATGGGGGGAATTTTGAAAATATTGGTGGAATTCCCCTGTAAAAGACTATCATGTTTTGATGAGACTGGTCAGATACAGACTGTACACAGCTGGGCGATTAACATGTAACACTGAAAGCCCTTTAGAACAGGTTCTGCTTCTACAATAATATACGTCCAAAAAAAAACAAGACAGAGGATTTTAAAGACTCATTTGTGATTGGTGAATTAAATGACTATGTCTCTGTCCAGGCTCCGCCCACAAACGTGTTCTTTCATAGCTAGTAAAAATCCTATTCAACCTAATGAGATATAAACAGTCTGTTCTACAGTTTCTCATTAGGCTGAATGAATAACTGACTCTAAATGTAGGTATTGTGATATAAACCGAGTCTGTTCTACAGTTTCTCATTAGGCTGAATGAATAACCAACTCTAAATGTAGGTATTGTGATATAAACCGAGTCTGTTCTACAGTTTCTCATTAGGCTGAATGAATAACCGACTCTAAATGTAGGTATTGTGATATAAACCGAGTCTGTTCTACAGTTTCTCATTAGGCTGAATGAATAACCGACTCTAAATGTAGGTATTGTGATATAAACCGAGTCTGTTCTACAGTTTCTCATTAGGCTGAATGAATAACCGACTCTAAATGTAGGTATTGTGATATAAACCGAGTCTGTTCTACAGTTTCTCATTAGGCTGAATGAATAACCGACTCTAAATGTAGGTATTGTGATATAAACCGAGTCTGTTCTACAGTTTCTCATTAGGCTGAATGAATAACCGACTCTAAATGTAGGTATTGTGATATAAACTGATTAGATTGAATGAGATTTTTATCACTGTGTTTAATAACAGTTGCTATGAAGAATTGTGTTTGTGGGCGGAGCCTGGATAGACCTATGAGAAAATGTACTTGGCTTCTTAATGGGACAAACCAACACTGGGAAATTAACACATGAATGCAAAATTACAAACCCTATGAAAATAAATGAAGAGAAACAAAGAACCTCTAAGTGTTTAAGTGCTCAGTGGCGTGTATGAATGCAGAGAGTTTTCAAGAAAGAATTCTTTACTAGTTTTATCTGCATTCTTATACTTTGCAAGTTTGTTTTATGTGTCGCTGACAAAATACAAACAAGAAAACATGACATGTAGCTACATTTGCAGGAAAACGCTTCGAAAACCAGGTGGTTTTCAGTATTTAAAGGGAAATTCCACCTATTTTTTAGATGATCTGCATAATTTGGTGGTTATGATGTAATCAGAGTGGTTTGGTGTGAAACGCTCTGTTCTAGATAAACTTACTAGATTGTTCACAGTGGTGGTGATAGGAACCAGACGTCCACCTCTAAAAGCTCCCTCACAGAAAGTTCCTACATGAAATGGTTATGAATTCACTGCCTGATGACTGAGACACTGTTTTAGGATAGTTTTGAGAAGATTTTAGGTCTAAATTGTTTCTTTTTTTAATCCGTTCAAGGTGCAGAACTTCAGATTTTCCGCTATTTGACCATCATTAAATAAGAACTCGGACCACTCTGAAAGACTTCGTTTATATCTCAACCACTAAATTATGCAGAAAATTTTCAAAACAGGGTGGAATTCCCCTCAAAAACATCTGCAACTTTACAGCACAAAGTAAACAAGTGATAAGTCTCTGTATGTGTATTGGAATAATGTTCAACACTTAAGACTTTTTGTTCACAAATAACACTTTCATTCAGGCAAACATGAAGAAAAACAAGAAACAGTTGGAAAATAAAGACACTCGAAGTGCTGAGAAGGAAAGTTTTAAGCACTGTTTGGTAAAATTGGACCAAATCTGAAGCTTTAATTGTGAATTCGATCCAGCAAGGCCATTAGTCCAGAGCAAAGTCAGCCTAAAAGCTCATGCATCACAGCTTTTTAAGCCTTTATGTTTATTTCATCTTAATTTACATGCCTTTCCACCAACGGTGTAGCATTCAGGTCACTGAAGTATGGCTTAGGGAAGACTACTAGTGTAGTGGTCATTAGCGCACCGGCCGCAGCTAAACGCCAACTCAAACAGCTCCGTCACCGCAAATTCAAACAGCTAGCGCGACTGGAAAGAACCTACAGAGAAGAACAGTCAGTTCCACGATGGGAAGGTAGAGCAGAAGTGCGCAGAATTAGCCTGGCGTAATGATTTTTAAGCTTGAAATGCCCAACCTGGCGCGAAACAGAGCGGCTGCTGCACGTCAGCTAGGAGCCAACTGTGTGCGTCAACCTCCAAACACAACGCAAAATAAGAAATGCTACTAAAACTAGGCGAAAAAACTCAAGATGATCACTTTAAACTATTTTTTAACTATTTAAAGGGCCCATATCATGGAAAAAATCGAATTATTTGAAACGTAGTAAGTCTTAAAACATACCATTCAGCTCATATTTGAAAACTAAGCCGCAAAAACAACCCGTTTATGAACTCGCTGGTTTTGTGACATCACAAAAATCCAGCTCATATACCCGCCTATTCAGCCTACAGCAGTTTTAGCTCCGCCCACTCGACCTGAAGTTGTAAGGAGCAGCCAGGACTGCTTTTTTTCCTGCCTTTTAAACGAGGGCAGCCAATCAGAAACAAGAGCTAATTTACACACATAATCAGTCTTAAAGGCACAGTAACAAAAACAGAGTGTTTATTTTCTGAGAAGCGAGGTAACATGAAAAGGAATCATGGCTTTTTTTTGGTATATAAATCCACAGAAATGTTTAGCGGACATTAAAAAAAAAGGAAAAATGCAGAATATGGGCCCTTTAAATACTCAGTCTGGTAATAAAGGCCTCGAGTGGAAACAAGGTGGTAAGTTAACACCGATTCCTCCACACAGAGTATCAGAGCAACATTCAAAAGCATGCATTCGACAGGAGGTGGTAAATATGCCGGTTTTATTGATCAGAGGTAACGACGCGAGGCCAGCAGGTCTTCTATGGCTGTCAGTTGATACCAGTTTAAGGCAGAAGGGCACTGTGAGAGAAATCAGACGTCCGCCGACTGCTCCTTTAGCTTTCATGGATGGTGATCTACAGGTAATACTAGTCCCGAGCGCACGGCCTCTGAAAGAACCTATGAAACTTATTTCCTCCTAAAGGGAATGAAAAACTGAACAGGAGTAAACGAAATGATAAACTGACTCTCCGTGAGGAATGCTCAAAAGTAAATCTGGAATATGGAAGCAAAGGAATGGAAGAAAAAAACAAAACAAGAGAAAAAGAGGACTGATTTAGAAGAGTGCTAAACTGGCCAGTAGGCCAAAAGAGAGAAAGAGAGAGAGAAAGAGAGAGAGAGAGAAAGAGGTAAAGAAAGGCCCAGCACGGTTAAACAGAAGTAATCTGAGGTCATCTGTAAAGGCCATAGCTCCGCAGCTTTGGTGACGTTTACATCCACACAGTGAAATCCACACTGTGGCGAGATCTCAGCCAGCCTGCTCCGGTTTATTTGGAGGTCATCGCCTTGATGGCCACGGCGCACTCCTCACCCATCGCAGACAGAACGGAGATCTGCAGGAGGAAACCAGAGTCAGACCTTTAGTACAGACCAATCAAACCAACTAGACGACAAATCAGGGCTGCACTTCGCTGTCCAGCCAGGACGCTCCTGTTAAAGACATCTGTAACCTGTAAGTTAAAAATGCTGTATATGATTCTGGAGAGCGACTGTTGATCTACACCGATCAGGCATAACATTATGACCAAATTGTTTCTACGCTCCATTTTATCAGCTCCACTTACTATATAGGTGCACTTTGTAGTTCTACAGTTACAGACTGTAGTCCATCTGTTTCTCTGATACTTTGTTAGCCCCCTTTTACCCTGTTCTTCAGTGGTCAGGACCCCCATGGACCCTCACAGAGCAGGTACTATTTGGGTGGTGGATCATTCTCAGCACTGCGGCAACACTGACGTGGTGGTGGTGTGTTAGTGTGTGTTGCGCTGGTCTGAGTGGATCAGACACAGCAGTGCTGCTGGAGTTTTTAAACACCTCAGTGTCACTGCTGGACTGAGAATAGTCCACCAACCAAAAATATCCAGCCAGCAGCGTCCTGTGGGCAGCGTCCTGTGACCACTGATGAAGGTTTAGAGGACGACCAACACAAACTGTGCAGCAGCAGATGAGCTATCGTCTCTGACTTTACCTCTACAAGGTGGACCGACAAGGTAGGAGTGTCTAACAGAGTGGACAGTGAGTTGATTAGCCAGTGTGTTGATTAGCCAGTGTGTGACAGCATGTTAACATTAAGCTAGTGTTCTGTAGCCTCAGTGTACAAGTAGACTAAATGAACCATCCAACTGACCCCTTCTGCACTTCGGCCCTGCAGATCCTCGTCTCGTTTAAGTCACCCCCTTAAGCTTTTCGGAGGTCTTCTCCGTCTCTCTCTCTTGCTAGCCTTCATTGTTTAACTATCCAGGTTATCATCATTCTGCTTTGCTCTGGAGAGAGTGGTATTTGCATGACGGACCTCTCACATGATGACTCTCACAGAGTGATGTGTAAAAGATGGCTACTGTTACAACAAACCTGGATCACCATAAGGAGCTCCATATATACGGTCAGACCCGTCAGTAGGGGTCGCGTCACTTTAGATTTCAGAGTCCGAGTTCATTTATGAGATGAAAGTCGAGTCAGCGTCAACTAATCGCTGATGACATTATGAATAAAACCACAGGAGAAGGGAACGCTGCAACAAGCAGCTTTAAAAATCCATAGGTCGGTAGAGCGTGAAGTGCTCTTTCCAACGAGCCCTGGATCGCACTGCTAGGCTTCAGGACACCGGAGAAACCAGACATACGGACCCCGAAACCACCAGCCTCCTCACCTGCTGTCTTCTCTGAGGCGCCCGTGTTGTGTCATAACCACGTGATCAGCAACTAGTCGGCATCAAGGTTACAGTGTCATCGCCGAGCGGTGAAGTCAACTCGTCTTCCTAACCTCTACCACTCACTAAACTCGACCTACTATTTAGGTATTTTTGACACTATTATCGCAAATAGGAAATTAAACAGGCTGAAATTGCCGTCCTTAAGAACTGTGATCAAATGGCTGATGGACATTTACACCCCTAAACACTGACCGCCGCAGAATTACACACTGTGATGGTTTGGTGTTGATCACAGGGATAAATGAGCTCCTCACCAGCATCTCCTCTCCAGCCTCGAACTTGCTCTCGATCTCCTTCCCCAGATCTCCGTCCGGCAGCCTCAGGTCCTCTCGGATCTCTCCGTTATCCTTCATCAGGGACAGGAACCCGTCGGTCACGCCGACCAGCTGAGGATGAAGAGACATGTTGTTGAAATACAGCACAGGGAGAGCAACAAACACACAGACAGCAGCGTTTAAACTGACTCACAGAAATGAAAATTAAAAAAAATAATAATTCAGAAAACTTGATTTTTAAACCAAACTGTCCAATAAAAGTTATACTGATGACAGATTTGATTTAGTATGTAAATTTGTCAAAACGTATCACTTGCAAGTACATACAGTCTATACATGGAAACTAAATGGCAAACTCAGCCTGTTTTTGAACGCAATATTTTCGCGATGTCAGACAAACCATCACACTTTCATATATCTACCCATTCGGCTTGCTGCAGTTCAGCAACTCGCGCTGAAGATATCAGAATACGTTTTACACTAAGGCTGCTTTATGAAAGAGGCACAACAAAAGGCAGCCAATCATCTGTTTAACTCTACAGAATATGGTACACAAAACCACACAAATGCCGTAAACAGACTAGGGATGCACTGATACCACTTCTTACTTCTGATAAGGAAAACATCCCTAAGTGTCGGCCAATACCAAGTACCAATACCAGTACTAACTCCATCAAACCTAACTGACCGATAAGTCCTGATATTTACTCAATTCTACTTTTTAAATATTTTATTTTGGAAAGATCCATGTTCTGTTTCATGAATCACCGTTTCCTGTGTGCAATATAATCAACGCTCCATGTGCAATATATAGTAATCTCTATAGTGTAAAGATCTTTTGCCTTTTTTTGCTTTTCCATTTACAATGTTTATACTGTTAACTCCTCACCATCCTGTGTGTAACATAAACCAGTACCTCATGTGCAATACTTTATGTGAATTTCGGGCAAAATATCCTTACAGTGTAAACATCTTAGCTTTTATTTATTTATAACTCTTAATTGTGTTAATTTTTTGTGAAGTATATTTATATTTTCTTATTTTTAGTATTATATATAGTATCTATAAAGTAAACTTTAAAAACCTTGTTTTTAAATCAACAAGGTTATTTACTTGCTTGTTAAATTCCCTTTTTTGTTATTTCTTTTCTTTTCTTGAGTGTCTTGCTCTCCCTTTGCTGCTGTAACACTGAGAATTTCCCCAGTGTGGGACTAAAAAATGCTTATCTTATCTTAATAAAACACTCAGCTTGACTGAACGGCATTAACTTGATGGATTATATAAGTTAGACGTCTATTTTTGTTTATTTACAACATATAATTAGCATTTCGCTGCTGTCGGAACAAAACCTCGTATCTCCAGAAAGGTAACTTTACAAGAGAAGGAAAAACGTTCTTAACTTAATTTTAACAAAGAAATAATTATTTCCAAGTAATTTTGGACCATTTCTATTGGTCTGTTCATCATGAAATTTTGATACAACATAAAGGCCAACTGGCTTTGTAAAATTATGACAAAATCTTAACAACAAAAATGGAGAAATGAGGTTTTGTCCTGAGAGCAACGATTTACTATTATACAATTAGTACTAAGAACTGTATTTAACAACAGAAGTAAATGTAAAATACTTCTATTGTGCAAAAGGGTTAAAAACAGAACTGAACACTATATGTGGTGTGAACACATAAGCACACAGCAGCTTCTCTGGGAAAAACGGAGCTGAATGTTGTTTCACATCTGAATTTCAGTCATTTATCTCGTCTGTGCGCCTCGTTTACTCGCGCTGCATCTCTGAGCGTCAGACTCTACCGGAGTTCAGTAAATATCACCGTCATTCATGCTGTCAGTAGCAGCGACTTTCAGCGTTTTCTTCCAGCTTGGAAGAAGCGATGGGCCACAAGACCCCATTGCTGAGTAATGCAGGTGATCGACAGAGGTGGGACTAGTAGACCTATGCGTTTTGGCTTGTGGGCTGCTATGCTAAAGGCTTAACATAAGGCTAAAGGCTACTACGCCAAGAGAGCGGCGGTTCCTTCCAAACGTATCTCTGATGTTCACTCCCTCAAAAACAACAACCTGCACTAACATTAACTCAGACTGTTAGTGACTACACAGCAGGAGATGAGAGCACTGAAACATCCCTGACTCAGTCATTCAGGTCAAGGCAGTTAGTGTGTTTCTCCCACTAAATTCTGCCGTTACAGATTCTGAAATGAACTTTTTCAGCACTGCTCGTCATCACACACCACTGACGCGTCGTTAAGCTCCCATGCACGGCGGAAACTGCTCTGTGGTATTGGTCAAAGGTATCGGTGTCCCTATCGCGATACTGTGTTTAAGTGCCAGTATCAGCGCTGATGCAGATACAGTATCGGCGCAACACTAAAGTGGATCTCAGAACTTCACTAAACCAATTTACAATCTCACACAGAGGACCTTGTATATGGAACTGTCTGCCAATCAACCTGTGAACAACTGGAATACTTTCAAAAAACTAGCTAACGTCCACTTCCAGTCTTAATCTGTCACTGAACCCTACTGTAATTAACCCCAGCCCAACCACATTTCTTCGTATCCCCCTCTTATGTTCTTTTTTCATTATGTTCTTGTTAAGTTGTATTTTTTTATTGTTGTCTTTCTTTTTATTTACACTTTATCCTGTGCTTTTTAACTGCATTTATTAATATATCCATTTTCTGCTATTTGTTTGTTTCTTATATTTTGTTTTTATTCTTGATTATCTTTTCTTCCTCTGTTGTTTTTACTTTGTACTGTGAAGCACTTTGAGCTGCATTTTTATGTATGAAAGGTGCTACATAAACACTTATTATTATTTATTATTATTATCTTTCTGTTTAAGCACTAAACACACCAAAACACAAAATAATTAAATTAGGAAAGTACTTGGTACAAAGCCTTTGGGCTGTTTGGTACTTTCTCTGCACAGTTTTATTTATTGTTTTATAATTTTTTGTTGTTTTTTAATACTATGTTTGGTTTGTTGTGCAAAATAAAAAAATAAATAAATAAATATCAGGGAAAAAAAATTAGAAAAATGCAGGATATGGGCCCTTTAAAAACATAAGTACATGCATGAAGATCAACAGGCACTTACTGTGAACAGCCTTTACACACTTTATTAGCACTCAATGCACCACTGAATATATCATCTGTACACACCTGCATATAAAGCAGCGCCGCAGCCTAAATAAAGCCGATAAACCTCCTAAACCGAACCGGACCCACCTGATAGTCGAGCCTCTTGATGTTGGGGACGTCCATGTTGTGAGTGGAGGGACAAATATCTTCGTTCTTCTTTCCGGTAAAAATGTCGATTCCAACCAGGTGAACCTGAAGTGGATCAAAACTCAGTTAACACTCACGTATTAGCCTCAGATCTACGTGAAACATGCAGTAAAAAACAATCCACACATTAATATTTGGCTACAGTTGTAAGCAAAAGTTTTGGCACCCCTGGCCAAATTACAACTTCTGTTGCTTTTCTGGAAGAAAATAAGTTGACATTCTCTACAGGAAACAAACTTAAACATGACATATCTACACATTTTAGTGCACGAGTATTACTTATTTACTGAATTTAAAACGTGCCACGTGCATATATTTGGACGCCCTTACAGTTGGCAGTTGGGACAAAAATTAAAAAAAAAGTTTAATATGTTCAGTGACTCTGTCATGTTATTGATCTGTTAGGCAAAAAACCTTTCTTTAAGGATGCCTTTAAACATCCCTGAAGCTCATGGGAGGCAACATTAGACTTTATACAACAGTTAGCTCCGGCCACGCGAGCTGATTGGTTGAGAAGTGTTCTAACCGTACTGTTATTTCACCATAACATCACGTTTTTTTCACAAACACTATCACTCCGCTGAGACGCTGTTGCTAAGCAACGACTTTGACAGCTGTAGGAGACGCTCAAGACATTCGAACGTTTTACTTCTTACTTTGCCACAAACAGAAAATGGACACTTTTAGATCACATTTGACCGACAGCCGATTTGGTCAGACTCTGAAGATTGCTGCATAGAGATTCCCAGCCCTAGAGGATACGGAGGAAAAGTAAAGAAAGACTGGGTGAGGAGGGGAGGATGGGCTGTGACTGGGCTCAAATATGAATGACAACCCCCTGATATCATCGTCCATGGCAACGTTTCCCAGCAGATATCATCATATGCCAGTTAAGTAGACGTCGCCCAACCCTGATCAGAACCATCTATGAACCTGCTGCCATAGAAATGTGACGCTGACTATTTTCCATGGAAAAAACATCCAGTATAGAACAGAACGACGTGCTGAACTGAGCAAAACTGAGTACCTGTAGCCACTGTTTGTTTATTAACTTAAAAACATTCAGCTTTTTTACATGACAGTTTCTGGCTAACGGACACAACAGCAGCCTCAGTTTGGAGCTTCAGCAGCTGCTGAGTCTCTCTGAGTTGGAGCTGTGGGTGTTTAGCTTCGTGTTCAGAGTGAAAACCACAGTAATGATTAGATTTGTTGGTAAAATCACAGCACACTGTAGTGTTTTTAGCTTAGTTATCCATGTTTTGGGTTTTCTTTGTGGTTTCTAATGGTTCCCCTCAACATTCACAGCTGTTCAGGGGGAGGTGTAAATATTTAGCAACTGTTAACTATTGTAATTTTAACTGTTTATTAAGTTAAGTTTATTGGTACATTATTATTAAATTTTACTTTAATGCTTTTTATTATTTAATTACAACATTTGATTTATTATTTTACTGTACAACTTCTCAATCCCTGATTCCTGTATTACTCAGCTACATTGTAAATGAGGGTCTCCCTCAGTGTATTCCGAGTTTAAATAAAGGTTGATTGACTGATTGATTGATTGATTGATTGATTATGCTCAGCACTAAAACTAGTTTGTGTCGTGTAGCCCATTTTGATTTAGTAATACATGAACCTGAACTTCGTAAAACACATCACAACTAGCCCATGTTTAAACTTAGAGGAATTCCACTGATTTCAACATTTTTGCATAACGCAATGTGTGAGATGTAATCAGAGTGATTCAGAGCGGTTTGGTGTGAAATGGTTCAGATGTCTTTACAGTGGTGGTGATAGGAACCAGGGGTCGCCATGACTACAACACAAATATAGACATTTTATTTACTATCCAAAACCACCAGTGAGCTGATCTGAGTTTTTATAGGCTATATAATGTTGAAAATCTGAACATATTAAGTTTTCCTTGGGGACTATTTTGCTTTACAACGCCCTGCATGTATCCCTCCACCATGAATGGAGTTTAAGTTCTCTAAACTATCATAAAACAGTGTCTCAGTCATCAGGCAGTGAATTAATAACCATTTCATGTAGGAACTTTCTGTGAGGGAGCTTTTAGAGGTGGACGTCTGGTTCCTATCACCACCACTGTGAACAGTTCTGACTCGGTAAGTTTCTCTAGAACAGAGCGTTTCACACCAAACCACTCTGAACCACTCTGTTTACATCTAAACCACTTAATTATTGAACTTTTGAATAAATGGCAGCTTTAAACGCTTAAAATAAGGGCTGACATCACAGTAAGGGGATAAAATGGGTCTCTACATCTCAATCGTTTAATTATGCGGAACTTTTTAAAAATTGGTGGGGTTCCCCTTTAAGTACAGCTGGTGCAGTCAGTCCCTGGAACCACAAACCTTGATTTAGCACTACAGCTAATGTCTCTGTCCTCCTCTTTACCTTTGCATGTCCATGCTTGCCCGTTTTGGAGGTGGACATCTCCACGATTTTGCACGGTCTCCCCTTCAGCACGACGTGGCCGTTCTTGCGCAGGGCACTGCACTGCATGGGGTACGTCAGGGAAGCCCCAGCATCTCCGCTGGTGAAGTCTAAATCAGGATCTGCCATCACGGGATGCTCTCACACACAGGGCTCTAGAAAACAACATAACTCCACACTTAGTAAAGCATTCATCACTTCACTGCAGACATTCAGCAGCAGCGCTCAGCGACCTCCCGTCTACTGGGTTAAAGGGCCAGAATCACAGAAAACCAAACGACTTCCTCTTTTTTTGATGACTGCAGTTTCAGCTTCGCACTGAAGCTATGCTTACTGAATTTGGTGTAACACACAGCAGCCAATCAGAATGGACATAATTTACATGTATCATTATTTTAAGTAGGGCTGAACGATTTGTGGAAAATATCTAATTGCAATATTTTCCAACTAATATTGTGACTGAAATTTAAATTGTGATTTTTTTTCCCCCCAAAAATTGAGATTCAGGCCTGATTTTTTTCAGAACACCCACCTTTTTTGTCTTGAGGCTCGAACCCTGAACGTAGTATCTCAAACTGGCAATAAGTTGTGGTTGTGATGTCACAACACACGGAGGATTGGTTGCCTCTGATTGGTCTAACTCATCCACAGGCATTTCCCAAACTCTTATTAGGTTCCGTTTCCCCTCTTTAAACCTAAAACAACGTTTTTGCTAATGAACACATCTGATAAAGATGGTTCTTCAAGGGCTTTTTAGTAAACAATGGTTCTATACAGAACCATAAACACTCAAGGAACCTTTTGCATGTTTAAATGGTTCTTTGCATGGTAAAATGGTTCTTCAGATTGATGGAGAATGTGTTGTACATGGTTCTATATAGAACCTTTTTTGAAAAGAGTTCTCTACAGGACCAAAATGTTCTTCCATTGTTATAAGTTTGACATCAACAAGCAACAAAGTAACAGTACCAGAACCCTTCTTGATGTTATACAGAACCACATACAACACGTTCTCCGACCATGCAGAGAACTTCTTATGCATGCAAATGGGTCTGAGTGTATCTGGTTCTGTATGGAATGGCTGTCTTTACTAAAGGACCATCTTTTTAAGAACCTTGAAGAACTATATTTTAAGAGTGTGGGCTATAATTTAAAAAAATGCACTGCCTTAAATTGTGATTTCATTATTAAGGCGATTAATCTTTCAGCCCTAATTTTAAGGCACAGTAACAAAGACAGCCTTTAACTCTAAGATAAAGAGAGGTTGGAAAATTGTAAACACGAATTATGACTGTTTTGTGTGCATAAAAACAGACAAACTCATAAAAGTGCGCCTCAGGTTAAACAAAATAAAATTAAACACAGTAAAATGCAGTAAAAATGTAAGATATGGGCCCTTTACTTGAACAAGTGCCCTAAACTGGAAGGATTTTAAGCCTGAAATCCCTCAAAAGGGCTTTTCAGAATGGATCCAGTTGAAATTAATAACTTTCATCAGCTGGAACGTGTTCAGAACTGGGTGTACACAATCAGAAAGTGGACAAATTTATTATAAAAAAGTTTAAAATGTTTCTGAAGCTGAAAAGCAGCGAGGTAGCAAGGCTAATGCTAACACGCCAGCGCTCTGTACCAGCCTTCAGTTAGTTAGTTAGCTTAGCTTAGCTTACTAACACGGCAGCTAAGCTACTTATTGCCCCTTTTTGTCCACAAATATTATCATATTCAGGCTCAGGACTCATTGTTAGTTTTTCCTCATTATGTCAAGCCAAGACGGGGAACTTGTTGGATAACAATAAAGCAGCAGCCAGTTTACTGCTACAAAATTAGCTTAGTTTAGCTTAGCCAGGCTTGGCCACTCAAAGCGCCGGCTGGGCCCGGCAGGGCTAGCTAAAATGCTAAAGTGCAGCGGGACTGGAAACTTAATTCCATATAAACTATAAACTTGTGCTTGGAATAAACATTTGACTGTAATTACCAGCCAAAATCAGTTAATCAGCTGGTTAATGTGCCGCACACTTCGCGAACCCAGCTAACAGTTCAGCTACCCTCCAAACTTTCCCCACTATAAAAAGTGTTTACTTGTCAATGGAGTAACTATTAGTACCGTAACAGATGTGGAGAAGGCTTTTCAAGCCAGACAAGCAGCAAATCATAAGATGAACAGCTTATTTTGTGCTTTTGTGCAACTTTTTAAAGTTGGTTTCCTATTCGCCAGCTTCGTTTGATTTTTTTCCCGTTCCACCTTAAATAGTGCAGCAGTTAGGCGCCAGAATGTAACTGATGCATCATTTAAGGTGGAACGGGAAAAAATCGAATAAGAAGCTGGCTTGAGCTTCGTGCCATTAAACTGTTTCAACGCATATCGCTATAGCTCATCATCTGCATGCGTCCTGGGCACTTCAGCGCCACAATGCAGAGAACGCATGGTGGGAAACTCGTGCCAGAGGCCTTATGCATCTGTCCCCACGCACTCCACTCCACTCCACACCCTGCCGCATTGTCTGTACGCAAGCCACGCTTTTGAAAACCTCCTTCTAATGCAACTTAACCACAACCACAAGACCGACCTACGATATTTTCTACAAATGCATTTGTCCCACTAAAAGAGTCTAGAAGAAAGCACGGGCCGTGCCAGACCTTACCTTCCAACAAAAGGGGGCTGCTGGGCGCACGCGCTGGGCTCGCACTGCACACAGGAGGGGCAGCATTGGAGCTCCAGCTGCTCAGTGCAGAACCCTAAAGCCCTCAGGCCACACCAAGGCCTGTGAGTGAGTGCACTGACTACTGGAAGGAGCTGAGAATGCACCTGGTTGCATTGCATTACATTAAGGGCGCACTTTTGGAAAAAAAAAGGGTTCTTTAGTTCTATTTAGAACCAAGAACAAACAAAAATAAAGAGCCAGTGCGAAAGGAGCTGAAGAGATGTGTGGATATGTGTACATATGCAGATTTGAATGTCTGTACATTTACAAAAGATGGTTCTTCAAGGGTTCTTGAGTAAAAAAATGGTTCTATATAGAGCCATGGACACTAAAAGAACCCTTCGCATGATGGTGAAATGGTTCTTCAGAATGACAGAGAATGTGTTGTATAAGGTTCTATATAGAACTTTTTTGAAAAGGGTTCTGCTATTATTACAAGCTTGACATCGTGACAATAGAAGAACCCTTTTTGGTGCTATACAGAACCCTTTTCTAAAACGTTCTATATAGAACCGTCTACAGCACTCTGCAGTTTGCAACCTGAAGAACCATTTCACGATGCAAAGAACCCTTTAATCATGTAAAGGGTTCTTTGAATGTTGAACCTTCCATATTATATGGAACCTTTTTGAAAATGGTTCTCTATAGCACCAAAAAGGGTTCCACTATTGCTATCATGTCAAGCTTATCACAATAGAAGAACTCTTTTTGGTGCTATGTAGAACCTCATCACTCTAAAGAACCATTTCACCATGCAAAGAACCATTTAAGCATCCAAGTGGTGCTTTGAGGGTTCATGGTTCTATATAGAACCATCGTCTTTACTAAAGAACCCTTGAAAAACTGTCTTATTAAGAGTGTGCATTGCACCAACAAGGATTAAGTTCAAACTTGAATTAAATCAAAGTTTATCTATTAATCCGGTTTTTAAACCTTCACTCTTAAAAAAGATGGTTCTTCAAGGGTTCTTTGGTAAAGAAAATGGTTCTGTATAGAACTGTGAACACTCAAAGAATGATTTGCATAATTAAATGGTTCTTTGCATGGTGAAAACGTTCTTCAGATTGATGGAGAGTGTGTTGTAAATGACTCTGTATAGAACCTTTTTGAAAAATGCTTCTATGTAGCACCAAAAATGGGTTCTGCTATTGTTACAGGTTTGACATCATAACAATAACAGAACCCTTTTTGGTGCTATACAGAGCAACAGCAGCAGATGAGCTACCGTCTCACTTTACATCTACAAGGTGGACTGACAAGGTAGGAGAGTCTAATAGAGTGGACAGTGAGTGGTCATACTCTAGTCCTTCATCAGTGGTCACAGGACGCTGCCCACAGGACGCTGTTGGCTGGATATTTTTGGTTGGTGGACTATTCTCAGTCCAGCAGTGACACTGAGGTGTTTAAAAACTCCAGCAGCACTGCTGTGTCTGATCCACTCGTACCAGCACAACACACACTAACACACCACCAACTGCAGTGCACCCAAATAGTACCTGCTCTGTGAGGGTCCATGGGGGTCCTGACCACTGAAGAACAGGGTAAAAGGGGGCTAACAAAGCATCAGAGAAACAGATGGACTACAGTCTGTAACTGTAGAACTACAAAGTGCACCTATATAGTAAGTGGAGCTGATAAAATGGACAATGAGCGCAGAAACAAGGAGGTGGTCATAATGAAGTGGCTGGTCAGTGTAAATGTCCTCACACTAAATGTTTGTTTGTTTTTTTTACTTACCTGAATAGTTGGGTAAAATCCTGTTTAGTAAATAGATATTGATAATGGAGTTGATAAGGGAAACTCCACTGATTTTTCAAAATTCCTCCATAATTCAGTGTGTGAGGTGTAATCAGAGAGATTCAGGGTGGTTTGGTGTGAAATGGTTCAGATGTCTTTACAGTGGTGGTGATAGGAACCAGGGGTCGCCATGACTACAACACAAATATAGACATTTTATTTACTATCCAGAACCACCAGTGAACCTACACGAGTCTTCTGAGTTTATATGGAATGTTGATGATGGAAAATAGTGGAAAATCTGAAATAATAAGTTTTCTTTGGGGACTATTTTGCCTCACAGCGCCCTGCATGTATCCCTCCACCATGAATGGAGTTTAAGTTCTCTAAACTATCATAAAACAGTGTCTCAGTCATCAGGCAGTGAATTCATAACCATTTAATGTAATAACCTTTTTTGTGAGGGAGGTTTTGGAGGTGGACGTCTGGTTCCTATCACCACCACTGTGAACAATTCTGACTCAGTAAGTTTATCTAGAACAGAGTGTTTCACACCAAACCTCTCTGAATGACTCTGTTTACGTCTTAACCGTTTAATTATGTAGAACTTTTGAAAAATTGGTGGAGTTCCCCTTTAACCTCAGTATGGCACAGTACGCAGCTGCTTCGGCCACCAATGGCAGCAAAATGTCACAGGCTAATGTAGATTTTGAAACAAATATACAAATAAAAGTACAGACCCATCCCCACATCCAGCACACAGGTCTAGACTACACTCTAAAGGCCTTATTTTAAGGCAGCGGTGGGCGATGTGGGAAACATATGACATCACAATACGTCAAGAAACTTTCACGATTCACAATATGTCAATATTTATATATTGATAAGTTGGAAGGGACATAAAAATGTGTGTAGTACCACATCTGAAAATACCATAAAACTATGAGTACGAATGATTTTTATTCAGCATCTGCACTAAATCAAATTACTCAGGACAAATTATGCACTGTTTGTAACGAATCATGCTTTGATCAGTGTTCTAGAAGTATTTACCATAACCAGGAAAGCATATTGTGATATAATTTATCACAGTAGTGATCAATATTGTCTCATTGCCCAGCCCTGTTTTAAAGTTCTTTTCCTTTACTGTTTGATTTTAGCCATTGCAGTTACAGGATCATGTCAGCAGGTGGCAGCACACCAACATAAACACTAGGCACAGTATATATTTTTTTTCATTTACTCTATTTATAATCTTATTACAGCAATGTGTCTGGATGTATAATCAGGGAAGTCCAACGTAAATTAAACCTTTGTGTGTCAAACTGAGACCTGAGTCAAAGCACTAAGGCAGTGTTGAAGGTCTCGCTCACTGCAAGTGGGAAAGCAATCACTAGAAAATGTCTATTGAGCCCCTAAATCACACGATTGGTATGAAATCTTTATTATGGAAAGAATTCAGACTCACAAAATCTGTCAGATTCAGTCTAAATGTCCAGTTGATGTAAGATCCTGGTTTTTCATGACCCCCTTTTTACTGAAGAGAACACATCCACATTTGTAATGGAAATAGTTTTAGACAGAAATTGGGGAGCTAATTTTAGAGGAACGTCAGAAATTTGGATGTGAAGAATATTTATTTCATTTTTGTATTCAGCTTGTATTAGGAACCCTAATATATTTGTATATATTTATATATATTAGAATTTTATTTATGTATGTATGTATGTATGTATGTGTGTATTTATTTATTTGATTCTTTTTTTTTTAATTTATGGTAATTTTCTAATAATGTATTGTTATTGACATTGACATTATTATTATCGTATGATGTTTATTGTTATAAGAAAAGCATGAATTACATACAAGCATATAAAATGAAAGAACTGAACCGGATTGTTAGGTAGAATAATAAAAAGAAAATTGGAAAAAGAAAAAAACAGTCAGGTCTGATCGGATTGTTCTGTGAGACCCTACACTCCTAAAAAGGATGGTTCTTCAAGGGTTCTTTAGTAAAGAAAATGGTTCTATATAGAACCATAAACACTCAAAGAACCCTCTGCAAGATTAAAGGGTTCTTTGCATCATGAAAGGGTGATGGAGAATGTGCCTGAATGTGTTTTAGCCGGTTCTGTTTTTTGAAAAGGGACCTGTATAGCACCCTTGACACTGTAACAAAAGCAGAACCCTCTTGGGTGCTATATAAAACCATTTTTTAAAATGTTCTATATAGAACCATTTACAGCACATTCTCCGTCAATCTGAAGAACCATTTTGTGATTGTGCAGAGGGTTCTTTGAGTGTCTATGGATCTATATAGATCCATTTTCTTTACTAAAGAACCCTTGAAGAACCACCAAGAGTGAAACAGTTCACAATAACAGGACGGTTCTGCAGTGAATGTTTATTTTCAGTGTATCGCGTCAGTAAAACTTCAAATTATTAACAACCTGCATGTTTTTGTGGTTGAGCACACAGAATTATTCATTTTTCTCTTCTGAAAACACACAAACACACACTTTACACACACACACCATAAACAAAAACACGTTTACATACAGCAGAATTCACGCACAAATGGGCCAAAGTGCCTAAATACAAAATACTGGCAACCATAATTCCCCCATTAAACTTGCATAGATGTAAACAGTGAGCTCAGCCCTCTGAACAGGAGGAACGTTCGGTAATTGATGAGGTTTTCATTGTTTACGTCCCAACATGTACATAATCTCAGGATAATGCTCAAAGGAGTACTCCACCCTGATAACAATGTGGATAAAAATGCACGAAATCTCATTTTTGGTGAAGTAGTCCTTTCAAGCAACAGTCTAGCAGAATGTCCACAGTTTGAGGCGAGTGTGTGATGATTTAGCCATGCAGTTAGCACCATGCTAAATGCTAGGGTATAAGCCTCTGTTACTGGTTAGCAACATTAGCCTCGTAGCTCCAGCACTAAAACTAAAGAAGCAACTTCAGACACTGAACTTGTCTCGTCTGATCGACTACATTATCAATAAAGGGGGAAAACTGTTTAAGTGTGATTTCTCTCTGAACTATCGCTTTAAGAGGCGGTTCTGAGGGGAGTAACAGGCTCCGATTTACTGCTAGCTTGCTCAGGCCTCCGTGGCTCCTTTCAGCTGCTCCAGCTCGGCCTCCACGACGGGCCGCGGGGCGCGCTTTTTCTGGAAAAGCGCCGCGATCTCCTCGAACGTTTTCCCTTTGGTCTCAGGCACTCGTAAACACGTGAACAGGGTGAATCCGAAGAGGAGCACCACGAAGATTATGAAGACGTACTGTCCGCAGTATGCCTGCAGAGCAAAGCGCAC